GGTATATGTGGCGCTGCCTCTGGTCTACGTGGCATGCTGACGTGGCGCTGCCTCTGGTATATGTGGCGCTGCCTCTGGTCTACGTGGCATGCTGACATGGCGCTGCCTCGGTATATGTGGCGCTGCCTCTGGTCTACGTGGCATGCTGACGTGGCACTGCCTCTGGTATATGTGGCGCTGTCTCTGGTCGACGTGGCATGCTGACATGGCGCTGCCTCTGGTTTAAGTGGCGCTGCTACTGGTCTACATTGATGATGTGGCGAATGCCACCTGTTTTGATTGCTGATGTGGCATTGTCCACGCTGTCTACATGAGGTGACTGGTTGCGAGGAGGAAGATAGGGATCTGTGGATGTAGGGAAGCGGGTACTCACCTGAGGTTGACGTCATCGCTGGAAATCTGCTGTGTCTTCAGAGTCTTCATGAGATAAAGTGCCACGTGGCACTATTTTGTGTGATCAAGAATATACTTATTATCATTAATGATGTGGCGAGGAAAGAAGCCCGGAGAAGGAGAGGGATCTGAAGGGTTTATTACTGTCTGATCTCTCTTCCTCTCGTTTGTCTATTCTCCCTCCACTCTCTTCTCTTTTTGATAATGAGTTTCTGTTTGAGATATCACTTCACAATCTGGAGATTTTCATGCAGATATTGAAACTACAGTGGATTGACGACTTCTGAGTATCTATCAGACTGGGTTCATTACACATGATTCAAGCTTGCAATTCTAAGATTGATGCCCATGCAACTACAACTCAGCTGCGGCATACAGTTCAGCTGTGAAGCATCAATGCAGCATTCAGCTGAGAGCTTGGACTCGGTCATATTGAGAGACGAGCACGGATTTTTCGGTCACCTTCAGAGGGAAGCTTCAAGCTTACCTGACGATCGAGTTCTGCCTTCTTTACAAGGAGTGCAGCTTCTGACTCTGCTATGGCTCGCTTCTTTTCATTCTCATAAGCAACTGTCTCTGACTCGATGTGCTGTGTTTGCTGCCTAGTACGAGCAATCCTTTCCGTCTCTCCGACATTTCCTCTGTGCCTGGCTTCCGCCACATCAATTTTCGCCTGTGCAAAGGAAAGATGCACTCAGCCAGTCCACCAAGCACAAATCCCTTCTCATCCTCATTTGATTCAAATCTGGCATGTATTTTAGTATTTTACACCTTTTCTTGCATTTCCCATCAGAGTTGGTGTTGAGTCGAGTGATCAATGATATAGCCCTGTCTTTCCATCATGAGATAGTCCTCTCTCTCTCTCTCTCTCTCTCTCTCTCTCTCTCTCTCTCTCTCTCTCTCTCTCTCTCTCTCTCTCTCTCTCT